AAACATCCCTTCCAGACCTTTAATTCTATGTTTTATTACCTGAACTTTTCTGCAGACTGATCAGGAAATGAAACACAAGGGAGAAATTTCCCCAATCTCTTTCAGTTTATTTTTTCTTGAGAGAGGGACAAATGGGTGGGTTAGAAATAGGTTCATGGAATGCTAAGAAGAAAAGGAGTTTCCAGGTGATCAGGTGGCCTCCAGGATGCTCTTTGAAGGGCTTCTGGTGTTTCTGGGACAGTTTAGATGGGGGAAATTGGCACCAGCATGTAGCATAGCACATGTGAAGGACCCAAAGCATGCTGAACTTGAAAAAAACTGTGGTTGGGTTGATGGGCTCCAGATGGCATCAAGGGAGACACCCTGATCGACATTGGCAGTGGCGCAACCATCCACCAATTCCTCTCCGCCTGCGAGTCATTCCGGGAGATCATAGCCACCGATTACGCTCTCCAGAACCGCGAGGAAGTTCAACGATGGCTGAAGAAGGAGCCAGGAGCTTTTGATTGGACCCCCATCGTGAAATATGTCTGTGATTTGGAAGGAGATAGGTATGTAGAGGAAGAACATAATCTTTGTTTTGATAAGAGCTGGGAAGAACTGAATCAGTTGTTCCAGACTCGGTCTCTGTTTCAATTCTTCTGCAGTGCTTCAGAAGGAACTGCAGGGTCATCTCCTCCTCAATGGTCCATGTCTTCTTTGGGCCTCCCCTTTCCAAGCTGTTTCTCTGGTGGGATCTCTATCTAAGCAGGGTCTCTCTAGCCAAAGCCCTCCATTGGCTTCCATCTCTGTTTCTTCTTTCATTGGACTCAGAAAGATGAATAGTCAAAGTTTGCAGCCTATCCAACCCTCCATGCTTTGGTGTTGGCCCATTGCCCGGTGGACTCATCCATTACTCTTGGCCGTTAACCCGATAAGGAAAAGTGTGCCTCTTCTTTTGTCAGTTCCTACTGGAGAAAAGCAGTGAGAATTCATGTTCTGTTCAGGAGTGAATTAACGGAACATATACATTGACCGTTTCCACAGTGACCCTAAGATGCCAGAGAGGAGACATCATCACACAGAGGCTGCCATCACCTATTTCTATACTGACCTTTGATCCAGGCACATAATTCATGAGATTTGTATGATGTCATAGTTACACATGGCTCACTGAAATTATTTATAGCCACGTCCCCATCTCTGAGGTAAGTGGTGCCAAGCTAAGAGACTGGTGGCTGCCGTGGAAGCTACATGGGGACCCAACCCTAGACTGGTGTTACTTGTGTTGTCTGGACAATTCTGGGAGCTGATTCCCACACATCTTAAGAGTTGCCAAGGTTGAAGAACATGTCCTTGACCTTTCCAGACTAATATTTGAATCAAAGCAAGAAGGAATTCTTGCAGAGAGAAAGGCTTTTCTTTTTTTGAAGGACAGCAGACCTGGGAAGCCTGCCCTATCTCTATCCATTAAAAGGACAGCTCTAGGTTGACCTCAGTTTGGAGATAGACAGGTCATACTCTTCCTGTCTTTCCCCTCCCACAGAGAAAAATGGCCAGAGAAGGAAGAGAAGGTCCGAAGAACCGTCAAGCAGTATCTGAAATGTGATGTGACCCAACCCAACCCTTTGGCTCCGCTGGTTCTTCCTCCTACAGATTGTCTGCTCTCCAGTTTGTGCTTTGATGGGGCTTGCAGAGACATCCCCACCTACCAATCAGCCTTCAGGAACATAAGTTCCCTTCTGAAACCAGGGGGACACCTCCTGTTTTATTCCACCCTTGAAGGGCACTACTATACGGTTGGCCAACACCGATTCTCTAACATTTTCTTGGAGAAGGATATGATAGAAGAGGCAGTGAGACAGGCTGGCTTTGTTATTAAATGGATTGAAGAGACCAGGATCAACTGCCCCCCTTCTATAGCAGATGGGAAGGGGCGGTGCATCCTTCTCTCCCAGAAATGTAGCCCATGAAATAAGGCAGCTGTTGATGTAACACCCAGAGGCTTCCCCAACCATTTTTATGAATCTGTTATATAAGTTAGGGAAAGCACACACCACGTGTCTTCTGTGATCTTTTCCACAGCTTTCCTAGTAGCTACTTAGGAAATGGCTCTATGTGTAATAAAGTAGCATCTTGCCTATGTGTTTGTGTGATGGTTTGTGTGCTTTCCTTGTGTTGTGTCTGTGTTTTCTATGTACGTGGATTCTCTGTGTATGTGCTGTCCTGTATTGTCCATGGCCCTGCCCGTTCTGAGATGGCAGTCCCTTCCTCTTGGCTCCCCTAACACTGATGGAGGGACGACCCTCTTTGTGCCTCTGGACACTGCAAGTGTCAGAGTTGCCCTTCCCTCTCTCTCTGCTGCCCCAATGAGAGGCAATGCTGAGTCAGAGACAGATCGGCCACGGGGCCACTGCTGGCTGCTGGGAGGTGAGAGGGCAGCCTTCTTCAGCCCTCTTGGTCTTATCCACTTTGCATCTGCCAGTGCCCCACCTCTAAATGTGTCCCACCCACATCTGGCTATTGCAGGCTTGGGGAAAACATATTGCACTCTGTTTTTTTGGTTAGGCAGGGCCAGCTGTGCTTCCAGCGGATAGACTCGGCTAGAGTTTGTCTGCATGTGGGGTTTTTTTCAGAACACAAGGGTGCTCTTTTCCAAAGCAGCTGCATGCCAGTGCTGGTTTAGGCTGGTGAGCCAATCCACTCCTCCACTTTGATAGGTCCCTTGCTGCTTGGCACAGCTCAGGCTGCCCACAGGCATCCTTGTACTAGGCAGCTTTCCCACTTTTTATGGACACTGCAAGCTGCAGAAGCGGAAATTGTGGAGAAGGTCAGGACAAGGAACTGCAGCTGGCAAAGAGGCAGAACAAGGCAGGGGCCAGGCTACTTTTCTGCACTCGTTCCCAGAACAGGCAGCCAGTTGGTGAGCAGTTTTGTGAGACTGGAGAGACACGTTGGGCTGGTGCCTACCTGAGCGCCGTTCATTTGGCTGTTAGTGTCTGCCAAGCTGCTTTTGCGCCCCATCGGATGAGTGAGGCAGTGGAAGTTTCTTTGGTGCAAACATTGCAAGCTCTTCCTGGGCACAAACACTTCTTCTGAACCCCAGGCATCCCCAGGCCCTGCTGGGTGATTCAGCTGATCTTTATGGCTCCAGAAGCTGCTTTGCTTCCTTGGCATCTCAAAGATGGGTGGACTCCTAGGATTCCCCAGCCAGCTATGAAAATAATTGATTTATTCCCAGGGAACTGAGAGATGCCTTTCTTTTACTTTGGGGCCCTGGATTATGACCTCCTCATTTTAGCTCCCCGAGGCCCCTTTGGCCTGGCATCCGGGCTCGCAACCCCAATTGCCCTCTGGTATTTCCCTCTGCAGCCCCCCAGGTCTCTCACTGGCCTAAGTCAGGATGCCGCAGCTGTGAGATTCTGAAGGGATTCTGCAGCCCACTGCAAAGCTGCATTCCGGGGAACCTGGCCCCATGCGTTGGCATCCGGTCCCAAAATAGAAAGGCTATTACTTTCCCCAGTCCCAAGTGCCAAGGAAGAGTTGGTCAGGCATGGAGGTGGCCTTCAGCTTCCCTGAGGGGGGAGGGGGGAACCTGCCTCTTGACACACAACCCTGGGAAAGGAACTAGGATAAAGGGTGATTCACAGGAGAAGTGGGGCAGCTGGGCACAACACGAGAAAAGCTTCAAGCCCAAAACAGATGTTTTCTGCTCCAGAAGTAGGGCGGTCAGAAAAGGGAAACGGACCTGGCTGTTTGGACAAGTGGCCCTGAAGGCACTTTTCTCTGCCAAGTCTCTTCCACTGTACTCCTGACCTCCGGTGAGAGGACCTTTCTTTTCCCCCTTGCGTTCTTGCCCGGAGAGGAAGTGTGTGTGTGTGTGTGTGTGTCTTCTGATGCCTCTTTTCCAAGAGAGAATATCGGATTGCATAAGGGGAGGCTCCAGGTCCCTTCCACCCCCACCCCCCCATGATTCTGTGTTCTGTTGTCCCCAAAAGGGGTCAGCCTGCCGCGGAAGCCAATCAGAGCCAGACAGGAGTGATGGACTTTCGCAACACTTTCATTGAAGCATTTCAGCAAAGGGATCCCAGCTGCTAGCGGAGCCGAGACTCCGAACAACAGCAAAGCACCATCTTTTATACTACTGAATACCAGAAATAGGGAACTAAAAATTTCACAAACCATCACCTTTTTATGAACTTATACTTTGCTTTAGTCTACGTGTCCTTTGCCCGTTTGTAGTTTCTGCAATTGATCCATATTTGGTTATTCTACCTTTATTGCCAAGCCTCGTGACTTCCTATTCGGTTTCTGGGTATGTGTTATCCCATTTTGTCCATTCCTAACTGTCACTTCTAGGTTATCACTCCCTCCCTGGATGGGGACATATGTTTCTTTTATTAGATCAGGGCAGGGCAGGACAGGACTTGGCTTCAAATCTGTTGGCAAAATGTGAGCAACATGTTCACGCTGTGACATGGAAAGATGATCTTTGTTGAGAAACCAGTTTGTAAGGGAAATCAGGAGGTGGAGCCAGCAAAGACCAAATTATAATAATCATCCGAACAGGAAAGGAACAACCAGAAATTGGTAAAAGTGTTTCTGGGATGATGGAAGAGTCTTACAAAGGGAAAGATTTTTACACAAAGCATTTTGATCCCAGAGCCCATCTGGAAAACTACTACAACGTTAAGTTGGAGGATGGTGGACTGGGTCAGTTTGTAACCTTTTTCCTGAAAGGGGCCCACAGGGCATTCACCATAGGNTTAAAAACAGCCACGAAGTGGAAGTAGCTTACAAAAGGCAGATGCCAAAATGTTCACAAACATCCCTTCCAGACCTTTAATTCTATGTTTTATTACCTGAACTTTTCTGCAGACTGATCAGGAAATGAAACACAAGGGAGAAATTTCCCCAATCTCTTTCAGTTTATTTTTTCTTGAGAGAGGGACAAATGGGTGGGTTGGAAATAGGTTCATGGAACGCTAAGAAGAAAAGGGGTTTCCAAGTGATCAGGTGGCCTCCAGGATGCTCTTTGAAGGGCTTCTGGTGTTTCTGGGACAGTTTAGATGGGGGAAATTGGCACCAGCATGTAGCATAGCACATGTGAAGGACCCAAAGCATGCTGAACTTGGAAAAAAACTGTGGTTGGGTTGATGGGCTCCAGATGGCATCAAGGGAGACACCCTGATCGACATTGGCAGTGGCGCAACCATCCACCAATTCCTCTCCGCCTGTGAGTCATTCCGGGAGATCATAGCCACCGATTACGCTCTCCAGAACCAGGAGGAGGTTCAATGATGGCTGAAGAAGGATCCGGGGGCTTTTGATTGAACCCCCCATCATGAAATATGTCTGTGAGTTGGAAGGAGACAGGTATGTAGAGGAAGAACATAGCTTTTGCTTTGACACTTTCAAAACTCTTGATTTATACTGAACTAGGGAAGGCAACCAGATGCCTTTCTTTCAAATTTTGCTAGTTTTTTTCATTTATGAAAATGCAGCAAGAGAGATTTTGCAATCAGGAGCTTAACAGGAAAACAACCGTGCAGACCAGAAGAGTCCAGATTGAACAACCAAGAGTGACTCTTTTTCAGAAAGCATGGCTAGCTGCTGTTGAGATAGACATGGCTTTTGTGTCAATTCTGCTATGAAAGCAAAGTGGAAACAAGTCCACAATTTCTTCTGAGCAGATAGGAAATGGAGAACTAGTTGTTCCAAACCCGTCTCTGTTTCAATTCTTCTGCAGTGCTTCAGAAGGACCTGCAGGGTTATTTCTTCCTCAATGGCCCATGTCTTCTTTGAGCCTCTCCTTTCCAATCTCTTTCTCCTAGTGGGTCTTTATCTTAGTAGAGTGTCTCTAGCCAAAGCCCTCCATTGGCTTCCATCTCTGTTTCTTCTTGCGTCGGGCTCAGAAAGATGAGTATTCTGAGAGAGGAAGTCCACACATTTGAGAGTTGTCAAGGTTGAGAAACACTGCCCTCGACCTTCCAGGTCCCAAACTGATATTTGAATCAAGGAAAGAAGGGCTTTCCTGTTTTTGAAGGACAGCAGACCTGGGAAGCCTGCCCTATCTCCATCCATAAAAAGGGCAACTCTAGCTTGACAAAGGTTTGGAGGTAGGCAGGTCATAATCTTCCTGTCTTTCCCTCCTGCCCAGGGAAAAATGGCCAGAGAAGGAAGAGAAGGTCCGAAGAGCCGTCAAACAATACCTGAAATGTGATGTGACCCAACCCAACCCTTTGGCTCCGCTGGTTCTTCCTCCTGCAGATTGTCTGCTCTCCACCCTGTGCTTCGATGCAGCTTGCAAAGACATCCCTACCTATCGATCTGCCTTCAGGAACATCAGTTCCCTTCTGAAACCAGGGGGGCACCTCCTGTTTAATTCATCCCTTGAAGGGCACTACTATACGGTTGGCCAACACCATTTCTCTCTCCTCTACCTGGAGAGGGAGGTAATAGAAGAGGCAGTGAGACAGGCTGGCTTTGTCATTAAATGGATTGAGGAGACTAGAATCAACTGCCCCCCGTCCGAAGCGGATTCAAAAGGGCGGTGCATCCTTCTTGCCCAGAAATGTAGCCCATGAAATAAGGCAGCTGTCGATGTAACTTCCAGAGGCTTCCCCAGCATATTGTAAGGATTTTGTTATACAAGTTAGGGAAAGCACACACCACATGGCTTCTGTGATCCTTTCCTAGAAGGTGCATAGAAAATGGTTTTGTGTGTAATAAGGTAACATTTTGTATCTCTGTGGTGTGTGATGGTTTCTGCTTTGCTTGACTACGTCATGTTCAATAACATTGTGATCAACTGTAAGCTGAGGGTATATATTGGTCCAATGTCTGATTTTTTAAAAAAATAATTAAATGATGCTGTGCTTCAATGGTTAGATGGGTTATAGACTGGTATTTGAATACAGATATTTTTAAATTTATATTTGATTGTGTTTTACTGATCTAGGTGAAATGTTAATATATATTGCTGGTCCATTTGTGAAATGTCATACGCTAAATAAATCAATAAACCTCCTTTCCTTGTGTCGTGTCTCTCTGAGTTTGTGCGTGTGGATTCTCTGGGCAGCTAGAGGGGGCAGCATCGGGAGGGGGGTCGTGCTTCCAGGAAAGAGGAGGGGGAGCTTAGGTCAGAGTGGGCAAGAGGCACTGGGGGAATTATCGGGAACATTTTTCTCTGCAGCCGACAAACAGAGGCACCCCATTTGTTGAGCCCAGTCTCGTTTTTGCTGGCTTCTCTCCGTGGCTTAAATTTGGTCCCCTCTGGTTAAGTTTTGGGAGAGGCAGACACGTCCCGGGCCCCTCGACCTGCTGGCTTTCCAGGATTCCTCCGGCTGGAATGACCCAAGCGCGGGCCGCTTTAGGAAGCTCCTGCTGAGGACCATGCAGAAGAGCGGCGCTTCCAATGAACAGCAGCCCAGGTGTTGCGCTCGGGCTCCCCCTCCTCCCCAGACCGAGGCGCCGCTCCGCTCCTCCCGCCAGTCAGGGCGGAAGATTGCCAGCTCCTTCCTTCGGCTTCGGGCGGATGGCAGTCCAGGCGAGGAGCCTTGTTAGTTCTTTTTTGGACGACCGGCGACCGCTTTGAAAACCCGGTTTTAGGGATGCTTCAATCTACTGCGCTGATTTATGTAATTAAGAATTGATTATGTGCCAATGGTTAAAGTACTGGTTTAGGGAAGTATTTAAAAAAATAGAGCTTTATTTTTTCTGGTCTGCTCAGGGGAGGCTAAAGCGAGGAGGCAGCAGAATTTTTAAAAAAGGAAAAGCATTTCAGGCGGGGCCGCTTTCGTGCAAAATCCTCCTTTCTTGCTCCCTTCTCAAACTCACCAGGGACTCCCGCAGAGAGGTCGGAGACACGCATTCAAATCGCCTAACCCTTTTGACCAGGGGTAGTCAAGCTTGGCTCTTTTATGACTTGTGGACTTCAATTCCCAGAATTCCTGAGCCAGCTTAGCTGGCTCAGGAATTCTGGGAGTTGAAGTCCACGAGTCATAAAAGAGCCAAGCTTGACTACCCCTGCTTTTGACTCTCGTCTCTCGCCGTTCCTCTCCAGCTGTGCGGCCACCGAAAACGTGCGGCCTGCACCTGCGCAGTTGACCGTTCCGGGAGGGGAGCCGAGAGCCCGCGAGAGATTGCGAGGTTCCGCTCTTAGCGCGCATGCGCCCCACAGCCGCCGACGCGCTGAAGAGATGGGGGCGGCGGAGGCGGACCGGACGCTCTTCGTGGGCAACCTCGACCCCCGCGTGACCGAGGAGCTGGTCTTCGAGCTCTTCCACCAGGTAGGGGACGGAGCGCGGAGGGCGGGGAAGGTCTCCCCGGCCCGCCGCTGAGCTAGGCCGCGGGGGGAGGGGGCGCTTCATCGGAGGCCTCCCCCGCGCCCGCCAACACCCCTGTGAGGTAGGCAGGCTGCCTGGCTGGCTGCCTAATTGAGGAAGAGGCCGGCCTGCGGGTTTCCAAGGCTGGGGGGGGGGGAGGGAATGCTTTAAGATTGCCCCCTGGTCTCAAAGGCCGCTGAGGGCCTCCCGGGGATCCAGCCGGGGGTCTCCAGCCAGGGTGGGGTGAGGGGCTTCAAAGTCGCAGCTCTGCGTGGGGAGGGGAGGGGGGAGGCAAATGCCTCGAAGGCTCCTCGTGGGAAGGAACCGTCCAAGGACGAGGGGAAGAGTGGGGGCTCTTTCTCCGAAGAACCCCCCCCTCCGCCTCGGATGATAGCCTTCCTGAGCCTTCCAGGTTATTATTAATAATAATACAAATGATTAAATGTATCTCTTGCCCAGAGTTGGTTAATCGGTGAGTTGGGTGGCATATAAATTTAATAATAATCAGACTGAGAGCCCCCCTCCCCCCCCAAGGTCTGGAGAAAGGCCAGGCACCTCTGGGGGAAAACTGACCCCTCCCCCAGTGGTTCTTGGGCTGAGGCTTCCTCACTCAGGACTGGGATGAGCTGAGCTGAGGAAGAGGCCGAAAGGAGAGGCTGCAGGTCTGGCTGCTGCCCATTTTCTTTTATCTACCTGGCCCCAAGGAAGAGGAGGCAGAGAGCTTCAAGAGGCTCCCTGCTGCCAAGGGTGCCCACCCCGCCCTCCCCTGAGCCCCCTTAGGTGTCTTGTGAGTGGCCAAGCCCAATGGATGGACTGCATGCACCAGTGCTCTTCTTTTTAATTGGGAATCAAGTCGGAACTTAAAATCGGTGAAATCAGGGGTGCCCAACCTTAACAACTTTAATATCTGTGGGCTTCAGCTCCCAGAAATCTCCAGCCTGCCCTGGACACCCCTGAGTTAAAGGTTTGATTTCCCTTGGAATGCAAGGAAAGGGGATTTCTGCTGCTTTCTTTGAGGGTGTATTGTTACCCATGCTGGGTTGGTGTGTTCTTCAGTGCACGGTCATTGGTTACATCCTGAAGAAACTTGGGCACTTTTTGCCCATAAGATTAGCTTTAGCATCATTCTGATGGGACTTTTTCGATGATAGTTCCCTTCTCACTTGAGTCTGGCACTTAACTGTTGGAACTTCTTTCCATCCATTTGTGAGAGTGTGAAAGATGTTGACTTGGTTTCTTGTTTTCAGGACAGAATGCTTTTAAAATCTAAACATAAGAGCATTTAACGTTGAGGAAATATTTGCAAAACCATCATAACAATTGATCGTCTGTTTGATTGGCAGAGGGTTTTCCCCTCTTCAAAGATTTATTTGAAACATGGGTGTGTTAAGCGACATACATGTCAGGAAAGAGATGGTCTATTTTTTTTTATTTAACGTTTTGTTTTGTTTCTTGGTTTGCAGGCAGGCCCAGTCATTAAAGTAAAGATCCCGAACGACAGGGATGGGAAACCAAAACAGTTTGCATTTGTGAATTTCAAACATGAAGAATCTGTTCCCTATGGCATGAGTCTGCTTAATGGGATCAAACTTTTTGGGAGACCACTCAAAATTCAGTTCCGATCAGGTATCCATAAAATGTTTCAAGCAGCCTAGATAATCTTGGCAAAGTAGAAGGATTTTATCACTTCCCTTAGAGCTCTAGTGTGTAAATTATTAGTCCAAATTGCTGTATGTAACCATGCTGAATTAAACAGTTGCCAAACCTTTAAGTAGAAGATATGATAATAGTGACACTGCATTGTCTATGTATTAACATGAACTAATTCTTTTGAGAAGAGGATAGTTTGTCAGTGTTGGAGAACCATCTGCTGGGATCTTCTAAATTTTAGTTAATTTTATATTTAAATACATGATGCATCTAAATATTATAAAGATCCTAAAACCATTGTGCCACAAATAATAGTTCTGTTTCCTTGAATGGTGCATGCATTTTGAGTTGTTCAGTTGTGAAATACAATCTGCTGTTACCACAAAACACTCTACTTTAAATAATTTTATTCCCAATTCTGCCCCATTGCTGAAATGAATTCTGGAGTCTTGGTTTCAGTGTGTCAATACACTTTAAATCTCACTTCTGCTTTAAACAAAAATGTGAAATTAACTTTTGCAGAATGGGGCTGATGTATTTGTTTGAAAGAATGTTCTTAGTTCTTTTTCAGCTCAGGATGGCTCCTTTTCAGCCGACATGGGACTGCAATTAACTTGGGCTTTGGTGTCTTTAGTGTTGCATTGTGATTGCATTATCACCTACTGGGTATTTCAGAAGGTTGCAGCATTTGTTTTGGAAATCTGTTTGCGTGCTAGTAGTACTCTGGTGTGATACCTCAGAGCCAATTAATTGTTTCATCTTGGTTTCTGGCTGCTGGCATCTCGCAGTTTGTCTCCCTCTGGAATCTTGCTTTAGTTCATCTCCCAAAATGTCTTTCAGGGAGCAGTCATGCATCTCAAGAGGTCACTTCACCCTATGCCCCACATGGATTTGCAAACGGAAACCCCTCAAGTCCACAGCATCTAGCAGCAGCATACAGCAACAGGTGAGGGCTTCTCTGCTGGCTTTTAAATTGGCATAATTTGCGTAGTGTAGTCAGGGTGGAAAATGAAATTCATGAAATGATCGCACTAAAATGGAGAAGAAATAACAGCTGCATGTTATTTAAAAATATTTCAAAACTAATTAAAACAATAAATGTTCTGAATACTTTTCAGAATACTGAATTATGATCCATGATTTGAAATAATTACTAGGTTTCCTTCTGAGGCATTTGACAAATATGCCTGTTATAAAACTGGTTAATTATAATTTTCTTTAAAAAGGTGCCATATGTGGTTAGTTTACAAATATATGAAATGTGGTTCCTTGCTTGGGAAAAAAATTGAATGTGAACTTTATTAAGATTAGTACAGCTAATTTCTGGTTTCAACCTAACAGATTCGAGAGGAACAGCGAGAACATGTCAGCTGCTCAGAGATCCTTCTCACCTCTAGATAACCATCAAACAAAGGCCATGGTGAGTGGTCCTCCCCAGTGCAATTTGGAAGAGAACAGCACAGATCTTTTGAGGGTTCACATATGGGGTGTGAGCCTGTATTTTCCACTCGGGGCAGCGGTCTTTTCTTACACGCAGAATTCCTGCAACATCAGCCATGTTTATTTTGTGCTGCAGTTATCTCAAGTGACATCAAACTTGGCAATTCATTAGTCCATCAGTTTTTCTAAGCCTTTTTTTTCCACATGCTATGGATTACTTCCTTCCCTGCATGATAACTGCCCCCAACCTAAAGATTTTATGAATGGCTCCAGTGGAAGGCCTTGTACACATTTATGCGCGAGTGAAGTAAAAAAACGTGTGCATTGATGGCCCATATTGTCTCGTTACCGTGCTTTGTCTTCCTCAGGCATTTTCCTTGTTGGTTCCCTCTAGAGCAGGGCTCTCCAAACTTGGCCATTTTAAGACTTGTGGATTTCAACTCCCAGAATTCCTCAGCCAGCATGGAGTTGAAGTCCACAAGTCTTAAAATGGCCAATTTTGGAGACCCCGCTCTAGAAGTCTGGGTGGCTCAAAACAGAAGAGACGTTTTCCTCTCCCCTCCGTTGCTTGGCGGAGAATACTTCCACCTCTGCACTTTCAACGGCTGCAGTTGAGGGCTGAGAAGCCTTCCTAACATTCTCAGCTGGGAGGAGGGGTGGTGGACACTGGGGTTCGGCAGAGGCTACCCCTGCCATGGGAATTCTTCTTGGCAGCAGGGCCCTCCTCGCCCCTCTTGCTGAAGATTGCTGGTGACCCCAGTCTCTTGCCTCCCTGTCCAGATGACTTTGGCATGGCAGCAGGTCCCATCGTATGGCGGAAGACACAGCTCTTCGCTTCCTGAGTCTTTGCCTGGAGGCCAGCAGGGTTACTCCTTCCCCCGGTCCTCGGCCTCCCCAGCGCACTGGCGCTCTGAGCCTCCCCGCAAGGGCAGAGTGAGTTCCCACCCGTACCAGTCTGGCCACAGGCACCACGGCCAGGAGCAGAGGCGGGTTGTGGACTGCGGCTCCAATTATGCCTTCCGGGGGAACCGGGAAGAGCATTACCACGATGACAGGAACTATGGAGGCTGGAGCTGAATTACGACAGCCAGCATTTCCAAGATGGCAAATGGCGCCCTGCCCGTCACTAGCAAGTATTCAGAACGGATGTTATGAACATTTTTTCTTGACGGTTCTTTCCCTTTTTAAAGCTTCTTTTCTTCCCTTTATGAAGAGCTTGTAGATGGTAACTCCACAAGTTGCCTTTTTAAAAAGAGAAAGTTTTATACGTATCATCTGCAGTGTGTATTTTGAGAGAAAATAATTTTTGAATTGTATTAACTTCCCCTCAGGGTTTAGGCAAAAGAAAGAAGAAGAAAAAAGTGCCACACTTTTAAACAGGTAAAGAAAAGAAGACATTGTGTTTATTTTATAAGGAAAAAAGTTCTGCTGCTTTGGTTTTATTTTAAAACCAGTGTTGGTATTTTTATACAAGAGCCCCTGAGGTGGTTCTGGTGTTGCTCGGAAAAGGGCCGGGAAGGAGAAAGTTTGGTGACCGTTGATAATTTGGGTAACAGTGTTTTGCTACGGGAATGAAGTTATTGAATATTCGTTGTAATAAGTGTTTTGCCTTGTGAGATCTACAAATAGAGCAAATTTGCTAGAGAATTTGATAATCGGTAATGAAGGATGTGTTATTTATACTGTCAGGCTCCGTAGGTTTTTTTAGCTGATCTGATCTCATGGTTTTTATATTAAGAAGAGCCTGCAGTATCATTAAGTGATTACCGCTTCTCAGGAAATTATTGCATGCTTCTGCCCCGTACTACATATGTAGAAAAAATCAAAGTTTTTTGTAAAACACTTTAAAAATTAGAAATTTCTAATTTAGGTAAAATTAGAAAACCAATATTCAATGAAATGAGAAAGAGGTAAGTATTGATGAGAATATGCACCCATTACAAGCTTATAAGTAAATATTTCATCATAAAATGACTAGTTCCTGAGGAACTCAAAATACTCAGTAACTGGAGAGTAAAATCTTGCTTTTCAGTCCCCCAGGCGGGCTACAGTATTTACACTTCCCACCCCCTTCCTGGCTTTTGCATCTAAAATGCCATCACTGCATGCAACTGTAGTTCTTTGTATTCTGAAAAATCTTGATGTGGCACTTAGGAAAAAGTGTTTTAGACTAGGGGCACTTTTAATTGTAAGAAACTAGCAGGCCTAGCTTTCACTTGGCTTCAGTGTACATCCCCAGTGCTTCCTTTAACATTAGCCATTGGAGTGGTAATTAAGTGTTTGTGTTTCCGGGCACACCTGAAACACAGATTGTGTTTCAAATTGCTGCTTTGAGTGAAATTAGTACTCAGCCTGCATTTGCAATTGGTATATGTTTCACTTGGAGCCATATCCTTTTAGGGAAGAAGCAGCAGCAGTTGTAACCTGGTTCATCCTAATCTCTTTCCCACTTCCACAGTCTCAAGATCACTATTATTTTTCTACCAAACAGAATTCCAGAAGGAACATAACTGGTGTTTTTTGCTGCTGTTGCTGCTTTGCTTTTTTCCCTTTTTGTTTTGAGAAGAAAGTTTTTAAGCCTTGGTTGTACTGCATGTCTGAAGGGGTTGATTTATGTTATATTAATGTTGACAACATTGCTCATATATAAAATCTATTTTCTATTAGTATTTCAACGACCATGTTTTTGATGATGCCATAATTTTATAAAGCCCCTAAAATTCATTTCTAACATTTTTCCAAGAAATATCTTTGAGAGTATTAAACATGCCCTTCCTTAGGCTTATGTATATGTATATAATGGCAAAAAATAAATTCTTTTCTTGTAAAACTGTTCTGTGTGTGCAAACAAAATTTTGTAAGGTCTAAAATCATAACTAGTGGTTCTTTTCAGTTTTCCAAATGTATTTGCATCTCATATGGAGTCAGCTATGTGCACCTGTCTGAAAATGCCTGCATGGTTTGAATACGTTAATCTCCCTGTTCCCCCTAAAATCTAAATTCCTAGAGAGGATCTGGCAGAATTGATCTGCCTCCCCCCCCCTCCCCCAAGAGGGGCTGTATATTCTGGATGTCCAAATCTTGTTTGGGGTGGATATTAAATGTCCCCTTTGTTATTTCTCTTCAGTCATACGTCGCTTTATCTTCTGTTACTGCCATTTTTTCCTTCCCAATTCATGAAAAATGAACGTATTGAGATTGCTCTCTTCCAGCATGCTGAAAGGAGGCCTCTGAAGGCTTTTGGCAGCTGGGCTGCACCAGCTGTTTGCTGCTGCTTGAAGGGGGTGGAATGCAGGTTCCTTCAGGAGCGACGGTGCCCCCTCCGCTGGGACAGAGGCAGAAGCGGTTCCTCAGAGCCCACCAAGGAGGCTCCCCTCTCTGGCCTTGGAAGTGCAGCCTCTGGTCCTTCCGGGCGCCTCCGCCTCCCTCTTCTGCTCGCTTTTTTTAAGCCGGTCAGCGGCAGAGGGAGCGCTACAGGGCAAAGGTTAGCAGCCCCCCTTGGCAGAGAGACCGCCTAGAGCAGCCCGTGGGGGGGGGCGCTGCTGGATTTCCTTTCCCAGCCGGGGGGGTGGGCAGCCCCGGTCTGGGGGTCCCGGGTGGCCCTCCGACCTCCAATGCGGAAGCTTCTGCCTTGGTTTTGGGGAGAGGACTACGCTTCCCAGCATGCTAGGCGCGGCGGGAGCGCCTGGTCTCGGGGCTCGTCTCAGGACTCCGCCTCCCGGCAGCCATTGCGGCAGGACCGCAGCCGGCGTCGAACGGGGCGCGGTGCCGCGCGGCCTGCCGGGAGCCGTAGTCTCCGGCGACTTCGGCGGGGATGCGTGGCGTTGGCGGAAGCGCGCGCGGCTGGCTGCGGCTCTGCGGAGGCGGCCCGGGGCGCGGCGGGAGGCGAGCCATGGCCGAGGCGGCCGCCCTGATGGGCCAGAGGATCGTCTGGGTGGACCTGGAGGTGAGGGGCCGGGGGGAGAGCAGAGAGGGGGGCAGGCAGGGGGGTCCCCCGGGGGGGCCGGGGGGGCTGGCCCCTTCTAAAACGGCACCCGGCATCTCCCTCCCCAAGTTGGGGGGGGGTTGGATCTGAGGGTGCGTCTCCTTCCTGGCCCTCTGCTGAACGGGGGGTGGGTCAACTTCCCCCTTTCATACCAGGCAGGCAGAAGCCAATGGGGGGCGGGAGGCGTTCCTGGGCTCTGCATGCTGTAAAATGAAGGACCAGAGGGACCCCTCCCCCTTCATGTACTCCCCATTTGATGGGCGGGGTTGGAGTTTTGGCTTCTGTGCCACAATCCGCAGGGCGTTTGGGGAGCCTTCAGAGCCGCATTGGGGCTAGAGCATGGCCAGTCAGTCGAGGGGTCTGTCTTGATCAGGCTAGGGGCCCCCGGCCCTCCTGGTGTCCAGGCCAGCTGCAAAAAGCATCATCCCAGTGTCACCCCGTTGCTTTCTCCTCTTGCACAGGCGGGGGTGAATTTCTTCCCCTTTCTCCTGACAGCCCCCCTCGTTCTGAAAGCCTCCCCCCATCCCCCATCAGTAGTGGAAGGTTAAACCTAATTCCCACAATCTTCCGCTGCCCGGCACCCACTGGCTTTGCTTCTCGGACCCTCAGATGACCGGCCTCGACATTGAAAAGGACCAGATCCTGGAGATGGCTTGCCTCATCACAGATTCAGGGCTGAACATCCTGGCCGAAGTAAGTTGCGGCTCCTCCTGGCTACCCTGATGGTTAGTTAAAGGTTTCCACGTTCTCCTGACCGATGGACCCTGGTGGGAATGTCTTGGCACCGAGTTCTCTGCAGGCCTCTGGCTGATGAAATCCTCTTTCTCTGCCTGAAATGTCCAGATGTTTCCAGGCTGGGGAATGGCTGCTGCCAACTGGGCAAGGCACGATAAACTGGAAAGCTGGCTGGCTGGCTTACAGCTGTTTTCTTCCCGGTGGCTTCTGAGAAAACATGAATCCCACTGCAGCATAAATCTGCGTGCTCACTCAATGATGCGCTGCCTATTACTTCTCTTGACAAGACAGATTTATTGTTTACAAAAGGAATTGTGAAACCTTCAGTGAAAAGAGTGGCTGGGCTTCTGACTGCTATGTTTTAAAGTTTCTTCTTTTCCCTCTCTTCTGTTCCTGCTTTTCTTTGTAACAGATGTTTGATTATATCCTCTTTTACTTTTGCAAAGGATGGCCCACACCTCTAGATATAAGCAGTAGATTAAAAAAATGGGGGGGGGATTAGAAGAGGTGGATTCTTCTAATTAGCATGAGATTTTTGGATGAGTGCAGGACCTGACCTGCTCCTCTCTAGTGGAGAAAGCCGCTAGAGATGATGAGACAGAACCATATTTTATGTGGGGATACGAGCGGCCTACTGCTTCTGCTTGCTGACTGCTGGCTCTCAGAGAATACAGGATTCCTAAAAACTCAAATAAGAATCGGCATGCTTGGCCTGGTTTCTCTGTGGGAAAGAGTCATGTTCTTTTTTGTTAGATGTGAGGGAGGCTGACGGTGCTGAGAGTGAACGTTGCGCCTGAACATAAGAATCCGGCTCAATTGTTGAAAAATCCTTTTGTGTTCAGAGGCTGTTTACCCTGAAATCAGCCAGGAATGTCAGGGACATCCACAAGTACGGGGTGGCCGATGCCCTGGGACTGAGGTCCATTACAGGAGGTCCCTACCCATTTTTCAGCTCTGGCCTTGCAGTCCTACTATGGCAGTGGTCTGATCTGACCTTCTTTGCCTTATGGATTGTTGTCTCCAGGGAGGTGTGGGGGTTATTGCGTTTTATTATTTTTGTATTGGGCATTTTATCCTTGTGAGCTGCCCGGAGTCACTGATGGTCAGTTGGGTGGCCGTATAAATTTTCATTCCATTCATTCATTCATTCATAAATGTCCTCTCTTCGTTGATAGGGTCCTAACCTAATCATTAACCAGCCCGATGAGTTGCTTGGCGGCATGTCAGACTGGTGCAAAGACCATCACGGGAAGGTAAAGCCTCCAATTTCTTAGAATTTTGTGCCTCCGAAGGAAGGGACCCTTTTCCTTGGGGGACGGTTCAGTGGTTTTGTAGCACAGAGGTGGGCAAGCCAGAATCGCCCTGATGTTGGCACCAAAGCTGCAGTCAGCAAAACCAAAGCTTGGAGACTCGGAGGTCGCCCATTCCTGCTGGAACCTGATATTTGAATTAAAACCTTTTTCCCGATCCTCCCATTCTTTGTTAGAGGAACTAAAATGGAGCTCATGTATGGGAAGGCCATTGACATTTGTGTTGCCAAGGAATAACTCCCCCCAGCAATTGGGCCAGGGTCCTGCCCTGCCCTGCCCTGAATGATTGGAGGGGGTCCCTTGTTTTGGCCAGGGGTCATGGGAATTCCAGAGGCAGAAATGGGCCCTTTGTTCAGGAATATCAACAAGGGGACAGTCGCTCCCCGGGAATGCAGACAGTTATGAAAACAAAGAGCCAGACCAGTTGGGTTTTTCTATGACCTCCTGTATGTCTGCAGCTTTTTCAGTGGTGGGCTCAGTCAGTCTTCTTTCCCTGGTTCCCCTGGAGTGGGGGTCTCTAGAGATCCTTCAGATGCTCTTAAATAATAGCACCTGCTTACCCCTTCTTAAACTCCTTCTGGCATCTTCGAGGAGTCCTTATTCCAAAACTCCTCCCCCAACCCTACTCAGCCCTCGCCTTGCTGCTCCAAGTCCCCGTCTTGGGCAACAGCCCTCAGAAATGGGTCCCTTGGAGCATGTGGTGGTTGGATCTGAGTGACTCTCTTGATGCACAAGCAGCTTCACTTTTCACTTCTCTTTTCTCACAGTCCGGTCTTACCAAGGCAGTGAAAGAGAGCACGATCTCCCTGCGCCAAGCAGAGTACGAGTTTCTGTCTTTCATCCGACAACAGACTCCACCAGGGCTCTGCCCTCTTGCAGGTTGGAGCAGTGAGCTTTGCCTCTTTCATTCTTTTACAACGGGGTTCCCCAAGCTTGGCAGATTTTAAGATGTGTGGCCTTCAACTCCCAGAAATACCCAGCCAGCAGGCTGCCTGGAGGAATTCTGGGAGTTGAAGTTCACACAGCTTAAAGCTGGAGAAGTTGAGAAGCACCGCAGTGGTTGGCTTAATGGATTTCAGCGTTAGCGGAGAAGGTCCCTGCAAGAGAGTGGCATGGAGCTGGCCCTGGCAGCTGGAGGTGGGGGTGGGGGGAGCCAGGCCAATGGGGTGGCCAGGCTGGGAGCTGTGGAGGGGAAAGAGGGCAGCAAGGTTAACTGGATTAACTGTAGCTTGTTGCTTTGGTGTTCAGGACAGCCCTCCATTTAATGGACATTCGGCTTCAATGGACCTTTATTCTGTTAAATCCAGACTTGGCTCTGATGGATAGAGATGAAATGTTGGCCTTTGCCTTTTTCTCCGTCTCCCGGCTGAGCATCCTGGTTTGACGTGGTGCTTTTGCCTCTCCTGTAGGAAACTCTGTTCATGCTGACAAGAAGTTTCTGGACAAACACATGCCGCAGTTCATGAAGCATCTCCACTACCGGATCATTGACGTCAGCACCTTGAAGGAACTCTGCAGGTTAATGAGCACCTAACGCTGGACGTCTTCAAGCTGGCGCCCACCAGACTTCCCAGCCGGGGGATCCAGTTGGGGGGGGACGGGAGGGTGGAATGGGGAGACTCGCCTGATGGGAGCAGAGGTTGGAGCGTGTAGCACAGCGAGGCAGAGAGCTCCCTTCAGGAAAATACCTGGCATTTAGGCAACACGTCACGGTTCTCCTGCCCTAGAATTAGGTGGAGATTTTGAAAACTTCATAGTTTCCACTGAGCTTTGCTGAAAATGTATATATAGTACTTGACTTATCACCACAATTGAGCCCAATATTTCTGTTGCTAAACAAGACAGTTGTTAAGTGAATTTTGCCCCACTTTATGACCTTTCTCGCCATACTTGTTAAGAGAATCACCGCAGTCATGAAGTGAATAACGGCTGTTGAATGAACCCGGCTTCCCCCTGGACTGGGCTTGTCAGGAGCTGGCAAGAGGCGGCCACGTGGCCCCCGGGACCCTGCAACCTTCGTTCATGTGCTCACGTGGCCATGGGGATGCATGCTGCAATGGTCATACATGTGGAAAATGGAGTCACTTTTTTCGGTGCCGTTGTAACTTTGAATGGTCACTAACTGAACTGTTGTAAGTCGAGGGTTATCTGTATTTCTGTTTGTTGTTTTTGAGGAGTGGAGGTTGACAAATAATACCCGTTTTTAGAAAAAGTGTTTACAGACCACAAACTGTTTTCGGTAAAGCTGAATTGCCAGCACTCGAATCTCATGGCCTCGGTTCTTCCGAGCATCTGCCAGCCCTCCGTTGGTGTGGCTTCTGCATGGGCAGCTCCTTTGGGTTTCTCAGCAGGGAGACAATTGTTCCTTCCTCTCATCCAGGCGCTGGTATCCTGAGGACTACGAGATTGCTCCCAAGAAGTCTGCTTCTCATAGGTGAGCTCTCGGGGGGGGGGGGGTTCTGTCTGCTCCTAAACTCTTTTAGCATTTCATTCCTGCTTTTTCTGCCCAGCGTGATTTACGCAAAGAGCTTAAGGGCAAGTGGCAGTTACCTTGTGGGCATCCTCCACATCTGAGGAAGGGCTCCACAGTCTGCAACCAGGGATGCTTCCCTCCTTCAGCAAAGGCCTTCAGTGATGTTGGGGTTTCAATTTCCAGAATTCCCAACTGACAGGAGCGCCAGGTTTAACACCTCCACAGCCTGGGGGAAGGCTGGGTCATGTTACCCCCATCCCATTCCCTTCTTCAGACTTCTGATTTCCCAGAATTTACAGCTGGCAGCTCTGAGTTGGTAAGGGCAGTTCTCGTGGCCCTTCTGCCGCCATGGAAGGGTGAGTTGGCAGGGAACCATTTGAAAAGCTGCTCCAGTACTATGCAATCTGAGTTGGGGGCTCCTCTGAGCCCCCCTGATCTGCATCTCTGGGAATAACATGGAGAATGAAACAGGCCCCCATAATCCCCCCAGTTCCCCGGGGGGCACGGTCCCTAGATATTCGAGCAGAGGGCTCAGCTTGGGAAACAGACCAAAAGGCTTTGAGATGTAATCAAGTCAGAAGAAGACATGCCACCCACAGCTGGAATTGGTAGAAAAGGGCCAGTTTTTCCAACCTTAATTTTTTCCGATAGTTGCTTGTCTGTATGAATGCAGGGCGAGCAGCATGACAGGAAGAGCTTTGAATTTGTGGTGAATATTTTTGCTGCCTCATAATTCTTTCCATTCTCAGGCATTCATTGCACAGAAAGATGGGATTTCAATAGAACTTCCTCTCCCTACTGAGAGTGTAAAACTTGCGTTTGTATTCCTCATTTATTTATCAAATTTCTACACCGCTCATCTCACCTAAGTGACTCTAGGCAGTTTGCTAACCACATCATAAAATAATATAAAAGTGTGACTTATCGGTAAAATATATTGACTTCCTGAATTATTTTTTTAGAGCCCTGGATGACATCCGGGAGAGCATCAAAGAGCTGCAGTTCTACAGAAATAACATCTTTAAAAGGAAAACAGACGAAAAGAAAAGAAAACTGGTGGAAAACGGGGAAAGTGAACAGTCTATTAGTTGATCCTGCGTCCTGATCCTTTAGGAAAACCTCCAGAGCCCAGGGCAGTCTTCCTGCTGAAGAGAAGAAGAACCTTTCAGCTCCGTTGCTGTCTCAAGAGGGTGATGTGACAGGATCCCAGATGGGACAGGCGTTCAAGGCCTGCCCCTGACACTCGGTGCTTGTTCAGTTCAGAAGTACAGAATACCTTCTTTCCTTGGAGAATTGCTTTCATTTGCCCCAAGCCCCCTCATTTGTTTCAGAATTAAAATCAACCTCACTGCAAAATAGTTGCCTTTTCCTTGTCTCCCGTGGCTCCATTTTGGTGGTGGTGGTGGTGGTGGTGGAGGAGGAGGAGGAGGAGGAGATGATGATGTGGGAGCATTAGCAGGATCTCATTTATGCTGCCTTTTATCATCTTGGCTGTCGCAGCTACTTCATGAGGCAGATTAATTCTCTCATTCTGTTCCAGAAGGGGAATATGGAGACAGGTAGTGTGTGGAGTGTAAAATCATCTGAATAATCTCTGGCAAGGCAATAGGTTTGCCTCCTAAACGTAATGCATCCTTCGCTGTCCAGTGCGAGGCTGAACCTTAAAAAAGATTTGGTGTCATTTTGGTGTAGGCCATCCGGTGTAATCTGTTAGGAACGCCTGGAGCCCTGGCAGAGCTCCGTCTTCTGAGAAACAACTTTAGAAGCCTCGTCCAGTTTGGCCCAAAGGTGCTTTTCCAAAAGGCAAATAGACTTGGTTTTTTTCTTGGAAAACGTTTCGCTTCTTATCCAAGAAGCTTCTTCAGTTCTGACTGAGAATCTCCATAGGCATCCAGCGTGGTGTTGCCTTGTAGCCTGGGGGGTGGGGGGGAAGAAGCCTACGTCCTCTTGGATGCGGGGACCCAGATAGAGTCAGTTGGAGCAGAGCCTCGGCCGAAGCTGCCAGGGCAGCCGCTTCCTGTGACAACTGAAGGCTACCAAGAAAAACAAAGCAAAGGATTAAGACAATCGCAGAAAAAAATACAACTAACATAAATCTTAAGGTTGCAGTTTTGTCTTTGAGAAATAGAAAATTGAAACTAAGTTTTTAAAAGCTGCTTCTTAGAAAATTCCGTTTTTAATTCTTAACCTCTCGGCATGTTCTATGCTTGCATCATACTGAATTCAGACCCACAAGGAGCCAGGAGATGGACCTAGCAAGAGTGGTTTTTGCAACTGTTGCTACTTTTAGCTGTTTCGGACATGGAGCTTCTCTCTCGCATCAACCCAAATAATTGTGACTTTGCTGAGCTTCTGGTTAGAGACAATTCAAAGTATGAAGGAAGAACAATATTTTACAACTGTTCAACTGCCGATAGGAAGTATTTTGAGGAAAGATGCTGAATATTGTGCAGGAGCTACACAACATAAGCAACACAGCAACCCTGTCTGTAAGCAGAATGTTGGGACTCTAGCCTTAAGGCAAACTTACTGCTCATTGTGTTTGTGAGATGCTGCAACCATTGCCACTCTTGTATCTCCCAAAAAATTAATCAGTTTTCTTCTTAAGCAAATGTAAAGCTGACCCAAGGTCCCAAAATTGCAGGAGACCAGTTCTGCCCGATGAAGCCACTGGGCAGTTGAGAACCTACCCCAACCACACATTTCTTGCTTGTTGTCTCCCTTCCTGATGAAAGAAAAGAATGGTAAACTTGCAACTGAGAAGGACTGGACGAGGGAATGTCAGGGGAATCACACAAGGAACTAAAGAAATTACTGATTTTACAAAAATCATCCTTGTAGGTCAGGGGTCTTCAAACTTGGCCCTTTTATGACTTGTGGACTTCAACTCCCAGAATTCCTCCTGGGAGTTGAAGTCCACAAGTCATAAAAGGGCCAAGTTTGAAAACCTCTGCTGTAGGTCTTCCCATAATAAGATCAGTTTAAACAAGCCACGTTTGTTCAGTACAGGTTGTTCTTTAGCATTTAAATTGTTTTAACATTTGACCAAAAACAAACAAACAAACCCTAAGTGTTCCAGATTAATGTTTAACTTGAGACAAAAGCTCAGCAACTACTTTGAATGGGCATCTATAATCATTAATGGTGTTTTTGCTGCAAAGGATCTTCGTTCTCTAGTGTTTGTTTTCTCTCATTTTTAAAAACAACACCCACTTTCAAATATTGTTTAAGTTGGGCAGCTACATAATTTTAAATGTTCAGTGCTGGACGCCTCTCTCACCCTCTCTCTGCCCCATAGCTAAGCCTGCAGCCAGGAATTGCCTTCCTCCGATTTAAACAGCTACACAGAAAATGACCCTCCAAAGCTTTAATTTTGTCATTTAAAGCTATTCTTTTTCGCTCTCTGGCTTGTATCCAGAGCTGCTTCCCCAAAGATGCCATCTGACAGCGTGACTAAAGGTACCCAGGTGTGCAGGAATTAAAAGTGGAAGGAGAGATACCTGGCAAATGAGCCAAAGTCACCCTCTTCCTTGTTAAATTCATGATCAATTCATTAATGGGGAACAGCACAGTATCTCTTCAAGAACAATCCTTCTTGAACTTAATTCATGTAGGATATTGTTGGGATTAGAGAAGGAGACAGGCATGCAAAGAGCTTTATGAATATCTCATGTGAACTGGCTGAATCCACACTGCTGTCACAAATCCACAAATTAGTTGTCATTTTTGAAACAGCCACCAAAAATTTCATCTTCTTCCAATAGTGTTTTTTTTAACTGTTGCATATTTGATTTGGCACCATTTTACACAGGCATTTATGAAAGGCTTACTAGAAGTATGAAGCAAAGCATGAGTCATGTGTGTTTGTGTGCATGTATGGTTTTTGCATTAGCTGAATTAGCACTGGTTCTATACGCGGCTTGTCGAGATATTTCGATTGTAGAATGATAAAACATGCAATTTCCAAAGGAAAACTGGGTTCATTTCTTGCAGTAAGAACCCCAAAGACTCTAATATCACCTCAAAGAACAACAATAAAGAAGGAAGGAAGGAAGGAAGGAAGGAAGGAAATGGGTTTCACCCTAATAATTACAATAATTACTATAATATTTGGGTTACTTGGGAACTGCACCCCAGATCTTGGCCTTGGGGTCTGACTTAACATGAAAATCTACCATTCAGAGATCTGTTTTACTGGCTGGATCAGTATGAATTAAAGGGCTCAGCAACTCTATTTAACATAAAGCCTACAAATAGTCAACAAAACTGCTAACATCTCATTCTTAATACCATCCCTGAGACTGTTAAAATATTACGATCTGAATAAAAAATGATGGATTACATTGTTAAAGACAGTTGGATTGTTTAAAGTCTGGGCAAAAAGACCCTTATCGTCCCACCTCCCCCCCCAGAAAGAAATATAACTTTATTGAGTATTTAAAAGTCATGGCCACTGATTAGTTCTGGCCCAGACATTCAAAACTGCAGCCTTCATTTGGAACATCTCCAGAACGTCGTTCCTGCAAGACAAAAGCCTGGGTGGAAATTTTTTATTTATATGGTGGGAATTTTGCAATTCATAGAGAACATTTGGAAACTTTGCTGCTGGCAGGACAGCGTCTTTCCTTGAACTGATTAATTTGGGAGGTGAGAACCGATTGCTGCTCTGTGGGGGGTGAGACCAGTGGGACAGGTGTTCAAATGAATATAGAATGAGACTACAGTATCTTTACCTGATTGAACAAATATACCTGCCAGCAGGAGAAAAATCCACAGGGTTTCCCCCTCCCCTTCTCTGGTTTTCCTGCTGTCAGTCCTCAGGTATGTTCACCTAATGAGGTGCCTGTCAAAGTTGCGAAGAGACCCAGATAGTTTGTGGAGAAGATGAACCATCAGGTCTTCTTCACTGCAGTTTACTGACAGGTGGATTCAGATAATGATGGGAAAGCTTTTGAAATGATGTAACCAGGTGGGAATTCTTGATTCATTCCACATTTTCAAGGAGTTCCATGAAATGCTTTGTTCAAACTACTCAGCGATAATGGAGCAAAACATCCCTTCTGTCAGTCATGGCAGAGTTTTGGCCCCTGATATCAGTGATGGAGCCAGCTTTCTGTACAGAAAACAATGCCCATCTTTCAGAAGAGGATGTCACTGGCACCCCTTGTGGGTAGAAAGGAGGAGCCTGGTTGGGACTCTTGTTGGCTAGGAAGATGGCACCAACGCCTTGGTGCTCTGGTGATGTTCCTGAGAACCTTCTCAATAGGACCTAGAAGAATCTGAGAAGAGGAGCTGATGACAGCAAGGTCCAAAGGGCACACCAGGCACTTGGCATGGAAAAAATGATGTTGACTGGGGATTTGGGAGGTTGCAGTCCCAAAATCTTAGGAGGAACTTTGTTGAATCAATCTGTTTTACAGCCAAGATATACAGTGTTTGGGCCAGCATCATGTACAAGTAACTATGAAATAAACAGTGAGGCTTTTCCTAGAAGATCTTATGGATTCTAGAACCACTAAGAATTAATGACAAAGAGGAGAATTTCCAGGGCAAAGGAAGACAAATGGGGTCCCCAAGGTGAGCACAGTCTCAGCAGATGACCTTTGGGGTTAATGTACCAGAGATGCCTTGGCAACGGAGGCAGAAGAATCTTGGAAATGGGCCTGGTGGCATTCCGTCTTTTTCCTGGGTATTTCTAACCTGTCTTCTAGCTCAGGGGTCTGCAACCTTGACAACTTTAAGACTTGTGGACAAGTTTTAAAGTTGTCATGGTTGCAGACCCCTGCTCTGGCTACAAGCTTTGTATCAGCCTGGCCTTAGGCAATCGCCCCTGGGAGGTTGAAATTTCGAAGATCTGAAAAGCACCAGCACGGGGAACCTGCCTTTAAAGTGCATGGTCCTTTTTGACGACAGAAACCAGCTTGGCTGGCTCCAATGGCAGCCTCTTCCTGTTGATCTCAAGCCGAACCTTTCATGGCCACGTGGTCTTTGAACCAGGCAATGCTGGGGAATCAGCTGGGGATTCTTCAAAGTGGCACCTTCCCACAGACCGATTGCTGGTGCCCAGCCTTGGGATTGATAGTGCTGGCTTGTCACGCAAACACTGGGCATCCAAGGTTATCGTTGTTACTGGCAGCCTCCAAAGAAAGCAGCTTTTCTGAGTTAATTAATTAGAACGATGTGCCAGCAAACTAATTGCCATCGTGCCATCGCACACCAAAGATGAAAGTCAGCAGTGGTGAGTCACAAACCTTGTTGATTGTGCCAAGCCCCTCAGATGGAGCTTGTGGGAGCAACCAGGAAGAAAGAGGCTGCTGTGAGGCAGGACCCCCCCCCCAAGGTCTCCCAGCCCAGCC